GTATTGAAGGAGGAAATCCAAGCTGTGTTGAATGTATTAGTTAAAATCAAGGCTCCAGGAATTGGTAGAACACTAATTGAAATGTTTCAAGAGCCTGAGCAGCACTGGAAACACTCATCTATGCCATTAGCTGCTTTACAAACTAATGGAAAGAGAACGGTGTACCCATATTTGTACTGATTCCAAACAAAGGTGACCCAACAGAAGGCAAAACTGATGAACAATATCATTAATAGCACATGCAGGTAACATTTTTATGAAGGTTGTCACCCACAGAAAACTGCCAGAAATTCAAGCTGGAGTTACACTACAATGTGAAATGAGTGATGCTGATATTAGATGCATCTTGGCTTAAAGCAGAGTATAACAGGTAACTGTTTGGTTTTGCCTTGTCGATTAAGCAGAGGCATTCAGCGATATGTATCATAAGAAACTACGTTTGACATTGTGGAGAATAGGAATTCAAGAAGACTTAATTGTCCGCATGCGGAACTTGGATATAGACCATGAAGAGTCAGTTGTTTGAAAGAGCAAAGGAATACCACAATGTGAAATCAGGAAAGGCTTATGTCAGAGATTTATCCTCATACTTATTATAAGTATATCATATTTATTCAGTCTATTTGCTGAGAAAGCAATTTAAGAACCTGGACTCTATGAGGAAGACTGGAGCATCAGAATTTGAGGAAGACTATTAACAACCAGAGGCCTGTTTACTGAAATTGAGCAGAACTTGAAGCACCTGCTGAGGTAGCCTTTAGTATGGATTACACCTCAATGTAAAAAAAGCAAAAATTCTTGCAACCTGACTAATAGACAACATCATGATAAAGAATGAAAAGATTGAAATCAGTATATTGAAGTTGTGAAACATTTCAATTTGCTCGATCCACAATCAATTCTTTTTTTAATGTTCTTTACTATGTCAATTTTATTTATTTATTTGTTTAAATCATTTTATTGGCGGTATACATCCATTGTATCATGCATATTTGTACATACATTGCCATCAGCAAAAAGTCAAACGGACATATTTCATTGGAAAAATCCTCTTTAGAGTGTTAAAAAGCATACATGTCCCTGTGTTTTTAATCTTCTCATATGTATGTGAAAGCTGAATAATGAATAAGAAAGACCAAAGAATTGGTGCATTTGAATTATACGGTGAGCAGAGAATCCTGAAAGGTGCCTGAACTGACTCCATAGCAGTGAGCTAAGAGTTATGGGCTGCCAGAAGAACCAACAAATGTGACTTATAGGAAGTATAGCCAGAGTGCTCCTTAGATGCAAGGATGATAGACATTGTCTTATGGACTTCGACAAGTGGCCCAGAGAGGTCAGTCCCTAGAACAGAACATCATGCTTGCTAAAGGGGGCGGGGGGTCTGTGTAAAAGAAGCTCCTCGTTGAGATGGGTTGACAGAGTGATTGCCTACAAGCTCTCAAACATATCAACTGTGAGGATGGCACAGGACCGTACAGGGTTTCATTTTGTTGGTCGTGGCTTCTCTGTGAGAGCCAACTTGATAGCATTTTACAAAAATAAATCACATTTTAGATTTTATTAATCCCACATTTTGTTAACTGCTCGCATTTATTCAGAGCTGCCTCTTCCTGGTGTGTTCTCTTCTCCACCTGGAAGAACTCAAATCCTCCCTTAAGACTGAATTTATCGATCAGCTTTCCTATTCAGCCATCGCTAATGTCCTCAGACTATGTTCTGCTGCTATTCATAAGGATTTTAGTGTCTGATTTTTCAGAAGTGGTCTGTTTTTCCCTTCTTCCTACTCTGTCTTAGTCTGGCACTCTGTTGACAACTGTCTGCCGGGGATGATCCTGCTAGTATTTGAAATGCTGGAGGCACACATTCCAACATCAGCAGCCAATGCAGTGGCAGACCAACTGACAAATGAGTGATTGGGTTGTTATGAGTTGGGACCAATTGGATGGTCTCTAACAACACCTTCTCTCCAGGGACTATCAACAATATTTGGATACAATTCTGCCAGGTTGTCCTATAACCCCATTGCATTTTTAAGTTTTCATGTCTCCTCCCCTGTTTAGACTGAAACTTTTGAGAGAAGGAGAAATACTTTCCCATTTCCATTATCCCTAGAGCATAGGTTAGTGCCTACCATATGGCACCTGCTAAGTGAATATCTATTGAATGACTAAAAGAGCAAATGGTTGAATAAGGGTTCAATAATGGGGAAGAAAGGAAGAGTGAAACAAAGTAAAATTCTATTGAGAAGATATCCCATGACTAAGATCCCACATCAGGTTGGAGGTAGGAGATATTTTTGTGTAGCCAGAATCTCACTTCAGAACAAGGAATGTGATAATCCTGGAAGGGGTGGGGAAGGCACTCTGAAATTCTAGAAGCCACATCTAAAGGAAAGAAGAGGCTCCATTCAGATTAAGAGTTATACATGGGCTTCTGAAGGTGTCTCCTGAGGATCAAATCTAGCACAAGTTTGCATTTTGTTTTTCACCCCTAGAACCAGAAAATGATATCTCTAAGGAAGTGAGAGGTGAAAAAAAATTTTTTCATTAATTGGGCTCAAGGGAATTCAGATCCTACATCTGCATACACGTTAAATACGTCCCTTAATCATGTCAATTGTAATTTGTTAACCTCAGATGATTAGAAAGCATGATTAAGTCTTCCAGAGGCCTCAGGAGTGGTTCTATCTCCCTATCCTCCTTGGTGTAAAGTGCCTGACTTCCTTCACCATCTAAGGAACAAGCTGGTAAACTCAGTGTCCTCCCTGATACCATCTAGGTAAGCCACAGCATCTTCAAAGCTGTTAGAGAATGCGGCATGGTGCATAAGATCCCTTCTCATAACTTTGGGGCATCAACAGGGATAATGATAGGAAGTGCTGATGGGAGATTGTGATAAACCCTGAAATATTTTGTTTCTCTGATGTGTCTTCTGTGGGGTTTGGCTTTCAATCACAGGGCACCTTTCTCTCAGTAGCATTTCTCCTTGCTCCACTGATTCTCCTTAGTTGGAAATATCTGTTAAACCTTGTCCAACTATTTATTCTTGTCATCTGTCTGTAACCATAGGCTCCCAAGCATCGCATGGCAAAATTATATCTGGAAATTAAGAAATTAGACAACCATTGTTATTTCTTCCAATATACTCACGGTCAAAGCAGGGAAAGCATCCTGGAAATGAATATTGTTCTCTGAAGTAGTACTGCCTTACTTTACTAGTGAGTGAGTTTGAAAAATCACTTGTTCCTTTGGAGGCTATCCAAGGCTTCCCAATCTTACAGTGGCACCAAGACTGGAAGGAAGAGGTGGAGTCTTTCCAAATAGAGAAAGAAGCAAGAGAAAGTGACAGAGGGATAGCAAATGCAGGGATTGATTAAACCTTAACTTTAAAAAGTTGGGAGCTGCTTCCATGTGTTGTCACATATTTTCTGAATTCACCTTTCCTGGTCCTCCAAATTACTGGCATCTCATTTTGCCTTCATGTGGGCCTTCTTCTGCTTAGGTTTTCATTGACAGATACTTGACTGTGACGTTTTATTTCTGAATCTTCACCATAGCCAAGAAAATGCCTTTCTGGTGTTCCCTGCTTTCAGTTAAAAACTATTTGATGTCATCAACAACATCCCTCAAATGTCATCAACAATATCCCTCAAATGCAGAGCCCTTGATTGTGGAAAATCACAATAAATAAAAGAAAATCCTAGACACCTTCAAAAATGTCTGTGTTTATTGTGAGGTCACTTATTAGTCCTGGAGTTAAACTCTTTGTTTCATTTATGTTGAGATATAATCCATCTGGAATCCTGTAGCTTTTATCCTCGTCAGTAAATACTTTAAGTGTCCTTTGCTTTCACCAAAATCCAGTGGTGAAGATTTGGGTTTCCTTTACATTGAGTTGTAATCCATACTGAAGGCTGCAATTTGTTATCTTCATCAGTAATGCTTCAAATCCTCCTTACTTTCAGCAAGTGAGGTCGCATCATCTGCATCACTCAGGTTGTTAATAAGCTTCCAATCCTGATACCAAAGAAAAGAATGCCTTCTTCATATAATCCAGTTTCCATGATTATTTTGTTAGCATACAGCTTGAACATGTGTGGTGAGAGGATGCAACTCAGACACACACCCTTGTTGGTTTTAAACTATGAAGCATTGCCTTGTTCTGTTCACACAACTGTCTCTTGATCCATGGATAGGCTCTGGATGAGGACAATTAAGTGTTCCAGAATTCCTATTTTTCTCAAAGCTATTGATAGTTTGTTATGGTCCACATAGTTGAATGCCTTAGCATAGTCTATAAAACACAAGTGAACATCTTTCTGGTATTCTCTGCTTTGAGCCAAGATCCACATGACATCAGCAATGATATCCCTTGTCTCATGTCCTCTTCTGAACCCTCTCTGGATCCAACCTGAATAATATTCAGTGTCATTTTACTTAATTCACTATTGTTTCCCCATTGACTTCAAGAAGACGTCAAAAACAAACAAACAAATAAACCCCACTGCTATGGAGTCAATTCTGACTCATCGAGACCCTACAAGACAGAGTAGAACTGCCCCTTGGGGTTTCTGAGGCTGTCAATCTTAACTAGAGTAGAAAACCTTTTCTCCTGCCAACAGCTGGTGGTTTTGAACCACTGACCTTGCAGTTAGCAGCCCAACACATAACCCATTAAACCACAGGATTCCTTTAATAATACTCAGTACCCAATAACTGATTGAGAATCTTTAATGACTGAATGAAAGCTTCAGAAAAAATTTAAAGGAATAGATTCCCTTGAGGGGTAGTGACTATTCCGTTTCAGCATCAAGGAGGAAATGGAGAACTTGGCATTCCATGTAATTGTCAAGGATATGACTCTAGATCTTCAGATAATATATTGAGTGGATCAACTGAACATGTCTAACACACAAAGAACAGCACGTAGGTCAAATAATGATCGTTACTTGTGCCTAACTTGCACTGCTCTGGTCCCTTTTCCCACAGTTTCATCACATGGAACCAAGAAACCAAACACGTGCTTCAGAGTTTATCCTCCTGGGACTCTCAGAAGAGGCAGAAGTGCAGCCCCTCCTCTTTGGTTTGTTCCTGTCCATGTACCTGGTCACCTTTATGGGGAATCTGCTCATCATCCTGATCATTGTCACTGACTCACGCCTGCACACACCCATGTACTTCTTCCTCTCCAACCTCTCCTTTGCCGACATTTGTTTCACCTCCACCACGGTCCCAAAGATGCTGCTGAACATCCAGCTGCAATCTAAAACCATAAGCTATGAAGGCTGCCTCAGCCAGATATTTTTTTTTATGGTTTTTGGAAGATTGGACAATTTTCTCTTGACAGTGATGGCCTATGACCGATTTGTGGCCATCTGCCACCCACTGCACTACACGGTCTTTATGAACCCCAAATTATGTGGCCTCTTGCTTTTAGAATCTTATATATTAAGCATTCTGGATTCTCTGCTACATGATTTAATGATTCTGAGGCTGTCTTTTTGTATAGAGTTAGAAATCCCCCACTTTTTCTGTGAACTTAATCAGGTGGTCCATCTGGCTTGTTCGGACACCTTCCTCAATGATCTAATGCTGTACATTACAAATGGGTTTCTGGTTATTATTCCACTCATCGGAATCATCTTCTCATACTCCAAGATCGTATCCTCCATTTTGAGAATTACATCAGCGGGGGGCAAGTATAAAGCCTTTTCCACTTGCGGCTCTCACCTTTCCGTCGTTTTCTTGTTCTATGGGACATTTCTTGGGGTGTATCTTAGCGCTGCTGCCACTCAAAACTCCAGGAAAATTGCAATTGCCTCAGTGATGTACACTGTGATCACACCCATGCTGAACCCCTTTATCTATAGTCTTAGAAATAAGGACATAAAGCAAGCCCTAAAAAAACTCTTCAGCTGCAAACCATTATCTCCCTGAGAGAATTTATCCCAGAATTAGAGTTACTCACTCACGAGTAACAGAGCTGAAAATCAAGAAACCCAGGGCATGGTCCTTCTATCAGTTGATCGGAGGAAGAAAGTCTCCCATCCTTCTTATTTCCTGAGTTCAGTTTCTCTAATGGTTCATACACTGTAAACAACTGTTTTGTTGCATTTCATTCCAACTTCTTTATTCCCTTGTTATGCCTCATGAATTTGGAGTAGAAAGCAGAATCGACTGTATGACTTTTTCAGTCATAAAAAACATAATGTAAGAAATTTGGGTTATACAATTATTCAAAGAGCTGGAGGAATGACAGCGTACAGATTTCTCTGCCAGATGAAAACAATTTGTCGTATCAAAGAATTTGTCTGGGTTTATGTTATAACCTCCAGAAAGAGATGGCTTCTGAATTAGTAGAAACATTCCTTGTCACCATGGGATTAAGTTCATGAGGGTACACGTTCTCTATCCAAGATCTAGTTGTCATCTGATTGCACCAAACATACAGCAAGTGGAGATGTAACAGAAACCACAACCTCTGTTCCTGCAAGCTTTCTCGTTGACCCTAATCTCGCTGATATATTCTTGTATATATGGTTGCTTTCTAAAATATGTTGACAGGCAGGAATTCTTTTCAGAAATACTCTTTGATGCTTCCTATTCAAATAGGCGCTCACAAATCACAAAAGCAATGTTGTTGTTGGTGGTGGTGGTTAGGTGCCATCGAGTCAATTCCAAACCATAGCAACTGCGGGCACAACACAATGAAGCACTGTGCGGTCCTGCACCATCCTCACAATTGTTCCTATGCTGGAGTGTAATGTTGGTATTCTACCAATTGCCAACTACGTCATTTCCAGTCGTGCACCAAAAACAGGAACTAATAAGAGGACATATTTATGAATTTATTATACATTGCAAAACAGAATAAGGCTAATACTTTAGTTAAGGCTAATGCAGCATCTGAACCGACGATCCACTCTTTTTGATTGGTGAGATACAGTGGAATCTTGAGACTAGTGTTAGTTTGGTACTGGTGTCCAAATGTCAAGAAAGTGAGCTGATTCTTTTCCTTTGCCCATTGCTCAATGTTCTAGATAAAAGGTGACAGTCATGTGAGTCCTGGTGTTCAGGTGAGTATTTAATTGTTTCTTAAACATAGTAGAGAAACAAACATACACACACACAGAGGGAGGGAAGGATAACGGTGAGAGAGAGTATAAGGTATAACAGAAATAAAAAATTGTGGCAGTTTTATAGTCCATCCACCTGGATAACTGTCCTTGCCACTTGAGGGTCTGTGTCAGTGTGTAAGGTCTGAGAATCAACTAAGAGATCATGATATTTCACTTTGGTAACCTAAGTTTCTTTCCAGCACACCTGGAGTATTTGTAGTTGTATAGATTGGATAGGCACATAACAAGCTACCTATCTATTGTATTATGGGGATACCATAAACAAATTGCTATTTCCAAAATTTTCTATAGCTTAATCTATAGATTAACATGCTGGTCGTGCTGCCTCTTACATGAACCACGAATGCTGTTCCTCTGGTGTTTTGATGACACTAGTTCAAGATGCCAGTATCCCCAATGAGTTCACGAGATTCCCATTTCAATCTTAGTCCCTCTAACTTTAGCTCTGTCATATAGAGTATAATCAGTACAGAGCTTTCCAAAGAGGGAATTACATCCCTTCATCGATGTATTTCTCACCATCCTGGTAAATGTAATGGTCCCCGGGTCCTGTTCTAGAACATACATGGTAGGTGAATGAGTAAGTCATACATTATTAATCCAGAACAGCCCGTGTCCTTTTCCTTGAATTCCTACCCACATTGTAGTAAGACATCTATGTCCATGAGAGGGACATAAAGTTCCTTCAGAGCAACTACTACAAAGTCCAAGCTTCAGCTAGCAGAGAAAAAAGTTAAGAATTATGTCCATTTTTTTAAACTAGCTTGTGGAAATCAGAATCTCTGTTAATGAATCATAT